TTATCAAATGAATAATCATTTTAATATGGTACCAAATTTCACATATAATAAGCCTACAGGTATAATATACATATTAGGGGAGTATGCTAAAACTTGATATGCTCAAAAAAATGCTAAATTTTAATTTGTAATGATTTTGCTTTCTATTATTTGCATTGCTATTGATATTGCAAATGCTGTTTAGATCATCAATATTTGCTATTTATTAATTAATGTTTGCCATCCTTCGATATCTATTTAACTTTAAATTTTAAATTGCTCAACGTTTGTCTCGTTTTATCCCAAAATTGAATAGAGCGAGATAGATTGCTATTACGTACGCGATTTCATTTCTCACTCCATTCATTTTACCGTTACCTAATGCAATCTCTCTCCTCCTTTCTCTGATTGTCTCGCTAGCATCCACTGTCTTATTTTTTCATTCAGTTCTCTTTCTTAGAAACGATTTCCGTGTGATTTCTTTCACGTATCACGTTACCCAACTATTCTTTCTCATAAATTTACGTTACGTATACCTTTATCAGTTCATTCACTCGTTTGTTCATTCAATCATTCATTCATTTATTCATTCACCTATTCATTTATCTATTTATTTAATTAATTAGTTAATTAATTTACTCGTTCATTTCACTCATTCATTTAATTCATTGATTCATTCATTTATTTCACTTATTCATTTATTCGTTTATTTTTAAATTGATTAATTACTTGATTGATTCATTCCTTTGCTCCATTCATTCATTCATTCATTGATTCGCTCATTTATTCATCTGTTTAATTAATTCATTTATCTATGATATCACTTAATGGAACTTTTTAGGTATTTTTAATTAGATTTTAACATTTATAGCATTTTTTAAATTTGATCAAAAGAAAAACATTAACATTTACGGTATCATTCTTTATAAGAAAAGTATGCTTGACCTATTCATATGACACATCTATTCTTATTAATTAATTTGTTGCTGTGATATGACAAATAATAATTAGCAGCAAATGAAAGCTGAAGTTTATTCTTATCACCAATTATAAATGCATAATCAAAAGTATTATATTCTTCACTTTTCTTCTCACAAAAAAAGCGATTTCATCAATTATTATTTCTTAGAAAAATTTCTCAAAAATATGGAAGAAGAGAGTTTGTCGAGGAAATAATTGTAACACATCAAAAATTTACTGTAATAAAATTTTTTTGCACACATTATTATTCAAAACTATGCAAAAAGAAAAATATGTAAAAACAAGCTGAAAAAAAAATCTTTTTAAATCAACTGAAAAAGAAATTTTATTTGGAAATCCATTTACTTTAGAGAAAAACACATTTCCGAACGAATGAAAATGACATTTTAAAAAATCAAATAACTGATTTCTTGTGGTGCCATGAAATGAAAAAAAGCGCAATGATATCACTTAAATTTCAGAACCAATAAGAGAAGTGATAAAAAAATAAATTAAACATTTTAAAATAAAATTAATAAGCATACTGTAGCTGTATATTTCAACACAATTTACCAGAACAGTTTAGTACATTTTAAATGGTAATATATCTTACTTATTTAAGATAAAAATGAATTTCTGAAGGTGTGAAATTTTATTCAATCGGCAAAAGTGTGAACAATAAAGAAAGTATGTGCGCTTTACTTGGTAGGAATAATCTTTCTCCCTCCTTCCCTTCTTCCCTCCCTCCCTCCATCTCTCTCTGTCTCTCTTTCTCTCTCTCTCTGTCAAAAAAGAGCATTTGAATGCTATTTTTTAATTATGAATTCTTAAAATTTTCAAGAAATAATTATAAATGTAAGAAATAAAAAAGCTCATATTTTGCTACGTTGGAGATTTTTTCTTCCCTTCAAGTTTGCATTAATTGTTGTTTTGAAGAAAGTTAATTGTTGCTAATTTAGCATAAGTAAAACTATTGAAAACTTAACTTTCATTAAATTTACAAGAATGAATTACCGTGCATTTTGTAATTTGGAAATCTACACTACAATGTAGAAGATAAGCAGGTTTTTTTTTCCATTAAGTGGGAGATTAATTATTAATTTATGCTAAATATTACGCTCAGATTAATCCCTAAGCAACAAATCAACCGGAAATCAAATTTAAATCTCAAATTAATTTCGTGTAATTTATTTCCAACTTATCCTTATGCATTCATCTGTAGTTGCTTCTCTACGCATACTAATTTCAATTTGTCATCAATCTGTGAAACACTCCTCGTTAACGTTATATTTCGTTAAGCTTCTGAAAACTTATTCCTTCAAAAAAAAAAATTTTTTTTTTCATAAAATTTTAAATTCTTAACCGGTGCTGCAATTCTTTGCTGTGATAATAGAAATGTAAGCTGATGTTGTGAGAGGAATTTCCAAAAATTTCACTTTTATCATATAAATACAGGTAATGGAATCCTTTTATATCTCTTCAATGAGCTCACTAAAATTCCGAAAATGTTATAAAACAATTCAGTCTGTTACACTTTTTTATGCTGCTTCATCCGGCAACCAAATTCCAAACTAAATTTTAGCAATATTTTGCAAAAATTCCAAAACAGTACAATCGATTTAGCTAATATACTTTTGTTTCTGCAATTTCGATTCTATGAAATATATTGAAATGTCGCAAAATTCATTTCATTCACATAATCTGTTTATCTTGTGTGATATCGTTCAGATTAATATTTTGCAAGATGCCAATTGCTTCAGTCAATTTGCTTACATCTTTTTCATTTCATTGTATTTTTTTTTAGGAAACAAGAAAGTATTATTCAATTAATTATTTACAGACAATGGCAACTTCTATTACTACATTGGCTGAAGAAATGCCTTTGGCACATGTGGTTGATAGTAAATTTACGGATAAAATTTGCGCTCAATGTATGATACCAGTATGGGAAAGGTAATTTTAGCTTATTTTTAAGTGTGATTAGACAATTTACTCTCCTCCTCCTCTGTTCCCACCTCCTTACAAAAATAGGAATTGGCATCTCTCAATAACGATATTCCATTATTTAACTCTTATCTTTCTGATTGTATTTTTTTCCAGAATGGAGGATATCTTTAGCTTTGTGATTGTATAAATATAGATTAAAAGTTGTGGTGAATAACAAATGCTTTACCTCTGTTTTGTTTTGCTGGGATATACGAAAGAGACTCTTCTCTAATTTTCGCTATCAGTTAGGATAGCTTAATAGAGACTTAGAAACTGAACTTTTAATCTTCGAAATGACCTAATGCAGCGTCATGTTATTCTTACGTATCAATTACTGAATTCTAACGTTTGAGTTGAAATACATACACACTTTGAAAGAGAGAGAAAGAGAGGGGAAGTTGATGCACTAAGAGATTAACCGAAAAAGACAGATAAAAAGATTGAGAAGGTTGAATGTAGCTACAACATGGTTTCAAACTTAACTTCATTTTGCAGCTAATTTGAGTCTGCTTCTTTTGGAAGTTGAACTCTGATTAAATTATAAATTGGTAGATTTATAAGATCAGGTTGGAAAATTTAATGTATTTAATTGATATTTACACTGTTATCTCAGATTTGGATTTAAAAATTTTTAATTTCAGACCGAACTTTATACAGCATGAGAAATATTTTAGATAGCCAATAGCAGTTAAAGATTGTAAAAAATAGTCATACTAGTATTTACTTAGTCATAATGGAAAAATACACATACTGGTTGATTATATATTTTCTTTTTCCTTTCTTGTTTGCAATTTGTGTTGTTTAAAATTTTCCATTTTAGAGACATTGAAGGAAAACTAAGTCGTTGTGCTCGCTGTAAATTTACTCATTATTGTAGTATGAAATGTCAAAAGAAGGATTGGCTTATTCATAAGGTTTACCTCATTCTTACTGAATTCACTTGTCAGCAAAAACTTAATTTTGTCTAATCCCCATCGATCACAAAAATTATAACAGATGGCTTACTTATGTGGTCGGCTTTGGATGGAAGTAATAAGTATGGAATACTTGAAGTTTATACTATTAATGTGGCGTCTTAAAATCATTGAGTAGAATTTATTGAACTTCTTTTACAAAATTTCGTTCGCCGAAGAACCGAGACTTAGCTATTATGGGGAAAAAGTTCATTATTTTTTCTTTAACTATAAGAATTAATTTGGGATCTATAAATGAGCATTATAGTTATCCAGACAAAAGTTCTAGTGAAATGTGTGGAACCTATAATACCCGAGTTGTAAATTTAATCTATGTGAAAATTATAAATTTTGTATTACAAGTCTATTTTTTAGAGTCTCCATCACTGTTCCTGAAATGAATATGACCTGCTATTGCAATGTTCATTTGATTTATAATTTATTTCTTCCAGATAGAATGCTCATATTTGTTACGTGTGGCGCCACGTATTCCCGAATCAATGCCTCGATTAATAGGTCGGATAATTACGACATTAAAACATTGTGGTGATAAAAATCGTGCTTTTAATGGACGTAATTTTGCTTCCTTAAAAAGTCGTAAGTTTCAATCCTTTTCTAGTTAACGAGCTGAATTTTGTGCATTTTAGAATGAGGCGCATTCGAGATAACTTCTGAAATAATTAATTTTGAAGCATCAATTCATGACATTGTTAGGATATTTCATTGATGAGCATGCAAGCACTTAATATCTTTAGATGTTGTTGATATCGAGAAAGATGAGGAAAAAAGGAATGGATTTATATCCATTGCATATGTCATCAAAGATTACCTTCCGTTAGGTGAGATGCCATCCAGCAGTGAAATATTCGATATTTTTTGTAAGGTAAGCTTTTCAATTTATTTTATTTCTTTTTATTAATTATTGTAGATTTTTTTGTGTTTTATTAATTATTATAGATTTTGATTAACGCATTGGTAATCACAGATTCCTGTTTGAATAGAATTGGTCTTGCTGTTTATCTAGGGTTAGTTATTTCTTTTTTTTAAAATATAACTGAAGATGAAGCTTTCAATGTTAAAAGTTCTTGTATCCTTACTATTTACATAGTTCTAAGAGTTCAAATTTACTAGCTTGCATATCGTTTTTGTTTTTTTTTTGATTTTGAAAATATCTTTTGGATTGAAAATTTTCGCAGATCAATCATGAACTGACTGTGTTGCTTTGCTAGTTTTTTTACTGAACTCCGTTGTAAACCAGTATTATCATTTCCATTTTATTTTATAACTCAAACTTTTTTGAGTTCAGTATGCTAACGTTTGACGTTATTTTTCTTTTCAGACTTTCAGCTTTGGATCACAGTTGTAAACCAGACGCATTTATTATTTTCAGCGGTACGAAAGCAATCTTGAGATCCTTGAATAAAAATATAACGGAGTACAGCGATGACGTTTGTTATTTTTTAGAATATAACCTTTAATGTTATGCTGTATAACAGTATATACTTAATCTCGTATACTTCAAACCTGAAAAAAATTATTAAGAAAGTTCATTTTTTCCTAATCAGGTTTTGTTTGGATTTTAAATCTTGTAATTTATTGTTAATGTACTCAGTACTATAATATCGGAAAATAAATTACAGTTGCGCATTCCGTACTGTGACTTGATGGATCTAAAGTCTACACGATGTGAAACTTTGCAAAATCAACACAATTTTGTATGCAATTGTGAAGTTTGTCAAGATTTTGGGATAGTAAGCTTTTCGTTTATTTATAATGTCTAATAAAAACCTGTAATAAATATTTCTTTGTTGACGAAATTAATTTGTTAATTATTATGAGTGTTTTTAGATTGTCTAACATTGATAATTTCATGATTTAACCGAACTTCAGGATCGACAGAAATGTTCTTTACGGTGTAGCAAATGCAAAGATGGCTTCTGTCCATATAGTGCTGAAGATGATCATACAGAAATACGATGTAAAGTTTGTGATGAAATATCCATTTTTAATATTGATCACTTGCAAAAACTACATCAACAACTGAAAGCTAGTGGTAGGTTTTTGTGAGACATGTGAAGAAACTGGTCATGGGCATTTAGAGTGCTTTCCATTTTAATTTTCGGTTAAATCTACTTCTGATCAGTAAAGATATTAAAGTTTATTTTCTTTAATCATTTTTTCCCTGTTATTTGTTCCGTTGTTTTAAGGATCAACAGAGAAGAGCCTAAATGAGCTAATAGATTCATATCACGAATTTGAAAAGGTTTTCTCACCATATAACGTTCCACTTTGTAAATTTGCCGAAAATATTATGATCTTAGCGCTGAATAATGAAAAATACGATAAAGCAGTCGAGTTTGCCGAAAAAACTCTCCTTTGTTACAGGTTCTTTGAGATTTTGAAGGAATTAAATTATTGAATTTTTTAATTTAACAGGATTTAATGAGAATTTTAAAAACAATTGCGGTTTAGAATTTCATTTTCTTTCCAACTTAATGAATGCCTTTTTCTTTTTAAACTTTACACGATGAATTTTATGTTTCAGGACATATTATCCAAAAGGTCATCCTTTGCCCTCAGTGCGCATGTTTGAATATGCTAAGTTGTTGATGCTACAACACAATCAGAACTCCCTTCCTATGTTGCGAAAGGTCTGCTATTTTTAGTTCAAGAACCTTTGTATCTAATGTTTAGCTTTGTTTAAGTCTGTTACATTTCTGATGGAAAGTTATGTTCCAGCAGTTTTATTCTTGATTTTTTACGCAGGTTGTGGCTTTTCAAGTTCATTTCTTGTATCATCGTTTGACATCTGCGGATTGGAATTCAGTAGTTATTATGCAAATTTCTTTACCAATTTATGATCCCTGCCTCCTTTCTCTTTCAAAAAGATAGTAAAAGCTCATTAAATCATTTTTTAGATTTTCGATAAGTTCTAAATATTTCTATGTTGTTACGCTGTTTAAAAATTATGTTCTTTTCTAATTTTTCATATGTTATTTGGTCTCCACTGAATACTAATTGATTTATGATTTAATTTTTGCAAATTTGCAAGATTTTCAGGCTTTTAAAATGATATGCGAAAGCTACGGTTCTGATACTAGTTTTGCATTTCATACTGCCAGATTATTAAATGACTTGGAAAAAAGTATAACTGCTGCTTCGCCGTAACGATTTAATTGACGGTTATTGATGTATTTCAATTCTTTTATTGTGTTAATTGTTTTCAACCGATAAACTTCTTTCTGTGAGTTGTAAATAATGTTTTTTTCTGAAGTTTTATTTTCAATCCAGGTAGCTATTAATTAATCAACTAGTAGTAGATGTTTTGTTTTCTAATTGACAGGAACATATATTGATGAGAAATTATAAGTTTTTCAAATGGGTGATAAGCTTGAAAAACTGGAATTTCTTATCGGAGTATAAAGTGCGATCAGACGGTTGATGTTTGTATTTTGAGGAATTTTAAATAAGAATTTTCTCATTTATTGTTTCTATTTTCAATTGCGCATGTTTCTATTTAAATCTTTACTTACCTGAGAATTTGCGATGAAAATGTCTGCTGCATTCAGCATGAACAAACATGAAAATACAGATAGACATGTGAAATGTTTAAAAAGGATGAAAGAGAGAGAAGGAAATTGTCACAAGCAACTTACTTCAGTTAAGGAGAACTATGTGACAAAGATGAAGTTGATTGGCTAAACCAAACATTTTAAATTCTTCTTTCCTACTCATAATACCCTCAATACGAAAGGATCATTTCACTGAGATTATTCAAAATTTCCTGAATGAACTACAATAAAAAAAATTGAAATTCAGCATTAAAAGTATTGGATTTAAAAAACTGGCAAATTTTAAATTTTAAAATTTGCTCAATTTTATTTTGTTTTGATTGAATTATTTTTGAAATCAAAGGAAAAAATAGTTACAACTTCAAAAAAAAGGAAACAGGAAAAAAAAACCACTTATTAAAGTTAATGCACTAGTTTATTAAAATTTTTTAAATTTATATACCTTCTTATTTTCCACTTTACATTCATTTTTTTCATAAAATCGAAAGCTAACGGTTGGTGCAATATTTGACGATACCTAAAGATTTATAACCTAGAAGTAAACTTCTTTTTGTTAATTTCATCAAATGAAATTATATATGTATCGGTAATATTTTCCCGAGAAAAGTATTAAATGAATTTTGTGGAGATCCAATTTACGGAAGATATGCGATCTTGGACAGATCAAATCAGGCAAAAGATAGAGGAGAGAAATGAGTGATGAAAGGGTATGTTTACAGAAATTTTGGATTGTGAAAGAGATGCTGGTCTTTTTATATTTACTCATTCGCGCATACAATTCAACTCAAACAATTTCATTTACAGAGCTTTCTTTACCCACTATTGGTTATAAAAGTGTTCTGGTGTAAATAACAATCCTGACAATATTCCTATTAATAATTCATATATGAATGAATACTTATTATCATTCTGTTAATATTAATATAATTCTTTTCTTCAATTATCCATTTGGCTATTTATATTTAATAGAAATCAATCAACAATAAACTAATAATTATAACTGATGCATTCCTTCTGGCATGTATTCTTTAGCAACAAATTATTCAGTTACCTTTAAGTCTATATTTTTCTTCTATTTATTGTACACGTATTGTTTTGTTTCACTTAAAACATCATTTTTTTTTTTTTTTACGTTATGCATATCATAATCGAATAACTGAAATTTGCATTTTATTCAATATTTTGATTACAAAGAAAAAAATTTTCTTAAAGATTTCAAATGTTTCGTGGTTACAACGAGGCACATCTTAAGCAATAATTACAAGTTGATAACAGTAATAGTTAATTAAAATTAGCTATGGGAAGTTAGAAAATTAATAAATTGATTGCAGCAAATTATCAATCAATCGATAATTAATGGTATTAAATCAGTTAATCAACCAGTCAATTACTGACAGCTTGTTAAAACGAATTGTCAATTTGATGTATTAAAATAATAGTGATTCCCACAGTTGAAGATACGGCATATAAAATGTACGCATTCATTTGTTTTATAATTAATTGGTTAATATCTCTAAAGGATAACTAGTTAATAGCTTCAAAAAATAATCCAATAATCAGTAATTTCAATTCTCTCATTTTTCGCAAAACAAAATATTCAATAACAATCATTTATTACTAAATATCCTCACATAAATATAATATAAAGTATTTAAAACAATTCTCGAAAAAAAAAGTCGTTCTAATTTCAATTTTTCAACTTTTAAAGTTTAAGATAACAGCTAAAGTTCAATTTTCTACTTGTTTCAACTCATATTTTACATATAAAACAAGTTACATCAAATATGATCGTTAATCAATTTATGCTTTTTCTTTGTTTTTATTTTGAACGACTTTTGAGGAATGTAAATGACAGCAAATATGGCTCAGAAATCAGTAGATAACAGCTGTAATAAAGTACTTATCAATTTTCTTATTGACGATGAATAGAATTCGATCAGTGTACTGTGAAAAATTAACAAACTTGGACGATATATGGAAGACTTAGAAAAAAAAATTAAATTAAAACAAAACAAAAATCTAACGAAATATGTGGAATTGATTACTGCTATTTATCAACAAGAAATCTCATATTTAAATTTTTAATTATTAAATGGATCATTATATTATTTTTCATTTTTATTCATTTAATATTGTTGCTAATTACATCATTCGTGCAAAAAGTACATTTTTTTGACTTAAATTCATTCAAACAAAACTGAATTAAAAAAAGTTTTTTTTCTCCTGCATAGCCAATCCTTACTTAAATTTCTGTTTTAAATTATTACCAAATTGTAATACTTGTGTTATAACAACAATAATTAATAATGACTTGATTTTCTCTATTTTTCATAACATCAAGAAATGGAAGCAGATATAATTTTCTATTTTTTTTATTTTTGACTTGAAGTCTCCCAGCTTTTTTCCATGACTAACAATAGCAGCTAATAGGAAAATAAAAATTTATTCTGAATTGAAAAAATATAGGAAAATTTTTGCTTTATTTGTTTGTTATCGCAGTTGCTTTACTTATAGCAGCTGCGACAACAAACAAATAAAGTGAAAACAAAAAAAGCTTTATTTTCCTTTAATTGCTACGTTTTATTTTCCATTGCAACAAAATAATTTTTTTCAAGTAATTGCTGTTTTTTATCACTTCGTGAAATTTTCGTGTTAAGCTACCTTACTATTATTATTATTATTGTTATTATCATTATTTAAATTATTATCGCTATTCGATGCTAA